GCAACGCCCACGTGCCGATTTCCTTGTAATGCTTGTCACGAGGCCACCTGTTGGTGGGCCACTTGTACACGGTTTCAACAACATCTTCAAAGCCGACACGCTCCATGAGTGTCTTCCATTCCTGAGCTGCCGAGACAGGCCGTCCAAATTTCTCCATGCCCTCCATGACGAGGAGAACCCACTTCCAGAGATCTGAGTCCTCGGCAAGAGTGCCATCATCGCAGCCGAGTGGCAAAGCCATATCCTGGGCCTCGAAATAACCGCCCGGTTCAAGCGAGCTAGCAGGAGTAGTCAGCCCAAGTCTTTGACCCAGAGAACAGGGATGGGTCACTCGTAGGCCTTCTGGACGATATTCTCGTTATTAGCGAAACTGCCGGTCATCATACGACAGAAAATAAAATCGAAAGGTTTCGACCACGTCCAATCCTTTTCGAGATCGTCGAGCTATCACTGCCGTAAGCAAGGCAATCGTGATGCGCGCTTTTGGAAAAGCTCACCTCAAAGTGGCAGTTTGGTGGCACACTCGGCTCGTCAGTCCAGGGTCTCGGAGTGAGGCGCGGGGACGGGCTTACAGATCGGGCTGTACAGGGCTCAGGTCGACTCCGATGACCTGCACTCTTTAACAACGAGCTATCCCGCGGCCCAGACTTCACTGCATACCTCAGCGCCCGGGTGAGCGTCGGCTTTGAGGTGATTAGCAGCGCATACAGAACAAGAACATGAAATGCTTACCGAATTCCATGGCCCAGATACCTGTGCCTGTCCCAAGGTCCAGCACACGGGTCGCTCCGTTGTTTTTGGGGCAGAGGCAGTGATTGCCTCCTATGGTCATGGTCATCACATAGTGCTGCAGATCTAAGTGTACCATCATCAGCATGTTCTGACCAAGGATCACAACGTCTTGGCCGTACCCAATCTATCGACTTCGGACTGAGGCGATGTGTCAGCCAAACTCCATTCGTCAGCTGCTCTTCACTCACATCATCATTCGGTAGAAAGTATTCTAGAGGGGCTGTCAGCAAGCAGAGCCACTGGCCTGGAGATGACACACTCACTGCCAGCGCTCATGGAATGGTATGTGCGGCCGTTCTCATGTTGGTACTCGCGAATGCTCGACCGCAGCGACGTAAGCGAGTCACGGGTAGGCTAGACGGTAACCAAGTCAGCTGGGACTGGATTCGCTAGGGCGACGAAGATCGCGCCTCTAGCCCTGTTGATGGGACCCTCGTCCATGCTCTGCACTGGCATCCACTAACAGGTGTAGCGCGGCCCGTGCCGATGTCGAGATTCCCTCTGGACCATCGATGCAACGTACCACGTCAAGCGCTGAGTCGCCGTCTGTTTCGCTACCTTCATCTGCTTCCTGTATCAGGTTAGATGCCCTGCTGACCTGATGAATGGCAAAGATGGACAGATGTGCGAGGAAGCGAGGAACAAGACCGGACAACCGGACTTACGATCTGCACAGTCGTCAGGGGCGCAGCTTGTGGTGGGGGTGCAGCCTCTACATGGGTTGAGTGAGGCGATTGTATCGCCTGTGATGGTGGTTGGGTCGGTTCGGTCATCTCGTTGTTTTTGACCACAACTTTGTTCTGAATAAGTCTTGTGTGAATGGCACGGAAACTGACGAGGAGTGCTTTACCTCACGATCGGTAACGGGGAAGTAGAGCAGGCTGGCAGGTTGACGCCTGAGGGCTGAATGAAGATATAACCCGTGTGCTCTCAGCGCTAACAGTGGCTAGAGGGGTAATTTGTGATACGTCAGTTCCCTGTACCGGAAGTGTCAGCCCTGGGCCGCGGATGCGCGACGAGCAGCCGCCCCATGCCACTTCACTCTGTGCTCCTCAAGATCCTGATGCTCTGTAGCCTGTCGGCGGGAGAGGCTTTTTCTTGCCCATGGGCAGAAAATGATTGAACATGACCTAGCGGCGCAAGCCGTCCTGTCGCCTCACCAAGTCTCTCGGTTGCAAGACAAAGGCGCTCGCATACCCCAGCATGCGGAGCGCGAGGGACACCACCACCCAGTCACAATGCCTCTCAGAGTTACTCCCCGGCCATGGAGGCGGGACCAGTCGACGAACTTGGATTGCGAATCCGCTCAAAAGGACCTGGGCGCACATGTGGTCCAGTAGGATGGTGCGCTAGGAATGTATCACTTCGCTCAGGCTCTCCCTCTCGTCTCTAGTCCCGGGCCAGCTGGCCCATGGCCTCTTGGTTATCTTGTGTCTCGTCCGTAAAAAAGGATTGGACGTCAGACGGTCTCTGAACTGACTCGTCCGGTCCGATTCTTGCATCAACTTCTCACCAGTTTCCTACTGAAAATGGATCTCTCAACCATGCCACCTGCTACGATAGTCCTAGCAGCAGGGCTTTTGCTGCTATCCTACTTGGTGGCTGCGCGTGTGCGGGACTTTTCACGTCTGCGACACGTACACGGCCCGTTCTTGGCGGGCTGGACAGATCTGTGGCTGATCCGCAACCAACTGAGCGGGCGGCTAAACTTTGTGCTGCAAGATGCCAATAAAAAATACGGTACCACGACCTCTCGTCACTTATCACTCGCACAGCGAAACTGACAAGGAACCTCCAGGGCCCGTTGCTAGGATCGCACCCAACTGGGTCGTGTGTGGCGATGGCGCCGAGCTTCGACGCCTGTGGGGAGTGCGCTCTGGCTGGCAGCGAGCGCACTGGTATCGCGGGCTTCGCATCGACCCATACAAGGACAACACATTCTCGACCACGGACGACAAGGTGCACGAGGCCTTGCGCTCCAGACTCTCGGCCGGCTATGCCGGGAAAGATGTAGACGGTTTGCATGAGCTGATTGACGAACAGGTGGCAGGACTTGTCCATCTCCTCGAGTCCAAGTATCTTGCAACCGAACAAGACTTTAAAATTGTCGATATTGCACGCAAGGTGCAGTTCTTTACTCTGGATGTCATCTCAAGCCTCGCGTTTGGAAAGTCATTCGACTACCTCAAGGCCGATGGCGATAAATTTCGGTACATTGAAACAACAGAGAGCACAGTCCCAGTGCTTCTGACGACGGCCCTCATACCATGGTTCCTCAACATCTTGCAGTCACCCAGGCTAAAGTGGATCATTCCAAGCGCAAGAGAAATGGTCGGCATCGGCACGGTCATGGGCCTTGCCCAGGAAGCAGTGGATGAGCGTTACGGCGACAACCCAATCGTCAAGCGTGACATGTTGGGTTCCTTTGTGGCCCACGGGCTGAGCAAGCAGGACGCCGAGGGCGAGACAGTCGTCCAAATCATCGCAGGCTCTGACACTTCAGCGACGGCAATTCGTTCGACATTGCTCTTCCTCATGACGAACCCTCCCGTTTACGCACGCTTTCAGTCCGAGATTGACCGAGCCATTGGGGAGGGGCGTATCTCTTCGCCTATTACCGATGACGAGGCCAAGAATTTCGAGTACCTGCAGGCTGTCATCCGCGAGGGGCTACGGCTGTGGCCACCCGCCACGGGCCTGCTTCCAAAGATCTCGCAGAAGGATGAGGTTGTCTGTGGCGTCCACATCCCTGCAGGCACTAATGTTGCCTGGGCACCATGGACCGTTATGCGCGACCAGAATGTTTTTGGACCAGACGCAGATCTCTTCTGGCCCGAAAGATGGATAGGTGTTCCAGACGCTAAGTGGCGTGCGATGGACCAGCAGGTCATGATGGATTTTGCATCGGGAAGTCGGTGGGAGTGTCTTGGGAAGAACATTGCCATGATCGAACTGAACAAAGTCTACGTCGAAGTAAGTTGACCCCCCTTCGCTTCTTATCATCGTAAGCTTATAGGTGACAAGCTGCTTCGTCGATTTGACTTTGTTCTCATCGACCCGACGAACCCATGGAAGTCATTCAACGCCGCATTCTTCATACAGAGCGACCTTAACGTCAAAGTTTCGAGACGGCCTGGGTTGCAAGGTGCAGTCCACCACTAGAATTATGCCTCGTCAACTTTGGGACATGTACTCATGAGCGTCACTGATGAGTGTCCTACGATTCTTTCGGTGGCAGTTATTGATAGTTTGTATGTTGATGGAGCGTGTATACACCAATGGCGAAGCTGCGCACATACTGACGGCGATATGGTGAGTTGGAAGTAGTCGAATTGATTTGCCTTATATGTTGGTGCTTGAGCCACCATATCTCTCGTTACAATCGCCCAACGAGGCACTCTAGGCCTGCCTGATTCCAGAGCTAGGTCACTTCCAATTTGGTCGTTAATTTGGTGTGTGGGCTGGCTTGATAACCTTCCCATGGTTGGACTTGATTGGATAGCGTCCGAAATCTTCCCTCTCAAGCACAGACTGGATGTCTAGACATTGTGGAGATGGAGGTATGTCATGTAAATATTTTTCGCAAAAAGCGATGCCGCCGTCTGTGAGAGTGATCCCTATAGATTGTGGTATTTTAGACTATTATGTCGGCGTTGCTCGTATCAAAGTCGGGAAATTGTCTTATCAAGTTAATGAAGCGCGAGCCTGCTGAATAGTCGAGATACAATTGATTAAAGGACAAAAAAAGTCTCAATAGGGTCCGTAGGTCAGCACCTCGGTCACTGAAACGAATCTATATCGTGGATGTTCTGCAAAGCTTAGCTAAGGGAGGCGGTAGGTTCCATGGCTCCTTGATGCAATCTGGTTTCAAGGCTATAAAAAAAATTCGCAAACGTAGTAGCAGTCTCATCATATACAGCGTGATGCGAGAAATAGGCCTAATCAATCTCCCAACGAAAAGAAAGGGTACAATCACAAATGGTCGTCGCCAATAGCAAATTTGGACCAGTCCTGGCTACCTTCACGTGGCTTCCGGCTCGGCGGGAAGACTATACCCCGAGAATGTTTCCTTGGCACGCCCCTTGCTCTCCACAAAGCTTGCCCCTCTCATGTCCGCACCCAATATCATCTGAAAGCCGTGATTAGTCGAGTTTCATATAAACAACGGTATTTCTGGTACGATGCAATGAATCCCTCATTCGTGTCGCCAGGGCTGACATATTCACTGATCCCCCGATGCCCAACAAGCCATTTTCAGCCAGCGGAACCCAGTTGAATGCTAGCTCCGATGTGACAGGACCCATGGAACAGGATCACTCCGGATTCAAAAGGACGCTAGTTAATGCGTGTGCTCCTCAACGTCACAAAATTTCCCGTCGACAGGTCGACACCCGTGCTCATCGCAAAAATCAGAAGACCAGACGTCAATCTAAAGCGCTCCAATCAATAAACTTATACTCCAGAGTCAGCACCTACACTCCAAGCTTGGTTGTCCAAGAAATGCTACGAACCCCGCGACGAGATTGCGCGAATGCTACTCAGGGCGGCCCCGCTCTCAGCAGTGGCTGTCGCGCCAAAAGTCTGCCACATTCACAGCACTCGGCCAGGCGCCACACACCGCCCTTAATCTTCCGTTGACCTGTTTCATCGAACTCCGCCGGCCGGGGTCACCTCAACACGAGGCTAGCCAGCTGAGTGCTGTTCCACTACTCGCCGAATCCCAAAGCGGTTGTGGCCGCTGAGCCTGTCCAATGAAGGAAGCTCTTCTGGCCGTGAAGACATGGTCTTCTTTACGAAAGCGAGGATTCGACTGGATTCCAGACAGAATGGCTGTTCAGGGAGAGCGGATGCGTATTGAGTGGATTTGTATATTACCAAGGCCGTCGAACGCCATAACCCTGGAAAGTCGAGGTCTTCATCCTTCTACACCCCCTTTTCGCATTTTACTTCTACTCCAACTGTCTACGTTTGTCCAACATGCATTACTCGCTTCTTTCGACCGCCGCGCTGGCCTTCGCGGCTTCTGTTTCAGGCTACGATATCTCCACCCCTTCTGACCAGGATGGCTCAGTCTGGCAGGCTCTCGCTGGGAAGGATGCCACCAGTTTTGCTCCCCGAAGTTCCTCGAACCGACCGGCAAAGCGCCAGGCCGGCTGGAACCCGCCCACCAGCCTGGCTACCCCATTGAAGCAGGTTTGGGATCATTGCCTTGCCACATATGGCGACGGCGACCTCTTCCGTTTCAAGAACTATGGCTGGGACCAGCTCATCGCAGCTCAGGGGTGAGTAAATCGTTTGACCGAGAAGGGTGCAGCGCTGACAACAGAGCCAGAACCATCAATATGTGCGTCCGCTGGGAGTCAGACACGGTCGTGACTGAGGCTCAGCGCAGCCAAATAGCCAAGGTGACGGCTGCGCAGTACCAAAAGTGGTTCCAATGGCTGTACGGCTACGACAACTTCCCCTATACCAATGTCAAGGTCAACATTGTCGGTTGGGCTGTCCGAGACAAGGCGCTGCTTCAGGGCTCCACGGCCGGCCTTGACATCTACACCAACAAGGATGGATCAGGAATTCCCGAGTGTGCTCCGGCTTGCGGCCGCTTCTTCAACCAGAACGGCGACTACAGCCGCTGCCCCGGTGGGGCGGCGCGTCACTACGACCAGTCGCTCTGGTTGACGGACGGCATGGGCGGCGGTGCTGGTGGTGACTGGGGCCAGCGCATTGGCCGCGAATACTTCATGGGCGCTCTCAATTCCGAAAACGTCCACATTCTTCTGCACGAAATGGGTCACACCTACGGTCTCGACGACTTTTATGATTGGACCCCCACTGGCATCAACAACTTTGTCATGCTGGCCGGCTCCTCACAAGCCATTACCGAGTTTGACGGCTGGATGCTGCGAAACTGGTGGTACGAGCTGTCGCGGAAGCGCGGTTGGCAGTCGGGTTCGGGCGGCTCTGCACCTCCCCCTGCCGCCGTGACCGCTGCGCCTACCACCACCCGACCCGCTGCCACCACCACCCGGCCCGCGACTACCACTACCGTCCGGCCCGCAACAACAACGGCGCGCCCGACCTCAACACCTCCAGCCACCGGATCTGGTCCTGAGGTGCCTCGCTGGGGCCAGTGCGGCGGATCTGGTTACACCGGACCAACCCGCTGCGTGGCTGGCTCAACCTGCACGGTCTCGAACCAGTACTACTCGCAGTGCCTGTAAGGGGAAACAACAAACCGGCCTGATCTCTTTTGACCGAACAAATCTTCTCTTCTTTCTTTCTGTTGCATACTTAGGCCCTCCAGGCATATATATAAATATATATCGATGGCATGCTGGTTCAGGCCCCTGGTTGTGACAACTGTGCAGTGGCTGTGTAGTGGCTCAGCGTTGTGGCTCGTGAATGGTCAGGTGATGTACAGCTTCGTCAGCAGCGTGGCCAGACGGAGTCCCGCAGGTGAGGCTTGACCAAGATCGACACCCTACCGCTCCGGATACAACCAGCCTGCTCTCATGGGCCGCCATCGCCCTCGATCCGCTGCCCAGACTGTAATGCGATTCCCAGCAGACTGGGCCGAACCTTAGTGGCCGACGCTTCCGAAAGCTCAGGACACACCCGATCCGGATGTCGCCTCAAGCCGAACATACGCCTCGTGGGTACAAACTCGAGAATGGAAGCGGTGGAATGGACTGTGTCACGATGCGCGCCATGAAAAGCCACGACATAACAAGAACGTCTCTTGGGATAGGGCGCAGAGGTGCCACAAGCCTGTGACCGGCGTCTTTGACGCAATGCCTCGTCGCACAACCAAAGCCTCCGCAGCAATATGGAGAGTGGCGGGCCACGGCAGCAACTGTAGAGTAACACTCAAACACGCCGCCGGCCGGCGAGGTGGCCGGCGTAGGCAAGGAAGGCTGTCATCGATAGCTCGCAGTTGTCACGCCCTTTGAAGCTGGACAATGTCCGACGCGAGCGCACAGATCTCTCGAGCGCGTGACCAGACCAGTATCGTCGTCGGCCTCAGAAGGGCTCACGTAACGGGCTGACACCCAATCTCAACTGCGGGTCCCAATGCTGAAGCCTATCAGCCAGGTTGGCCCACGGTGTTCTCGCCCCGAAGGACAGGGCGTTGTGCCAGAGATAACCGTGGATGGGCTGTCCGGCGCCAATGGCTGGCGGGGAATGGACGCGAATATAGCGATAATAATGGGGCCCTTGAGCAAATCAAGCTGTCAGATCCCAGAAAGCTGGCTGGCGAGCTCGCCAAGGGGATGAGGGATGATACCACGCTGGGCTAAGCGGCGATAGCGTTTCTGTCTCTCTTGTTGCCGCTCTATCGCGGGGTGCAGGAGCGCAAACGAGCCGTTCCCGCGACGTGCGCCTGTCACCCACACAAATGCCCGGGACGCCCCTAAGCTTTGTGGTTGCATGGCCGCCAACGCCCTTTTACAAGGGAAAGCTTCTACTTACAGTAGACCCAAGCGCGACCGGTCGTGGTGTGCATCGGAGCCGACCGATGGCACATCCAAGCCACTGATAGTCGACACGAGAAGCAGTGGAGGGGCGTGAGCACCGATTGATTGATGCCTCTCGTTGGCTCGAGCCAAGGGTAGGCAAGGGGCACGAGCTCGCGACCCAGATTGGGCAAAGATACGGGATTCCTTCGCAAAGCAGTTGGCTCTCGCATTGGTCGGCCGCAGCCACAGAACCCTCTGAGGCTTCAATCTCTCATCTCAAGAGCAATAGGAATCCTGGTATAGAGCTCTGGAACAAGAGCCTGGTCTCCCCTCGGCATGTGATGCGGCGGGATGAGGATGCCTCTTTCGACAACGCCAATTTCGATCGTGGTCCTTCCCCATGTAGTCTGGGGTGAATGGGGGTTTCAAGCCCCCTCGGCACTCAATGGGCCACAAAGTATCGGAGCCGCCCGCCTGTGTGTGTGTCCTCCCCCTCAATGTCAAGCGTGGTCATCTCGTGGCTTGCACCACAATGTAGCTTGGGCGGATTGGAGTCCTCCCCCCTGCCCCCTCCCCTGCGTTCCCCCGGACATCCTCCCCCAACTTGCTTTTGGCTTTCGAGCCAAGATCCCAAGGTGTTTTCGGACGAGTCCGTGTGGTGTACTGTGTGTCGTCCGAAGCTCCAGCAATCCTTGCCGCTCAGCCCGTCCACCAATGTCAGCGCTGCGATCCAGGGGACCAAGCCCGTCAAGGGCACCATCAGCGATGTGGCTATTGGACAGAGAGGACTACTTGTCCCAGCATGGTTGCCAGCGCCGAGACGCCATGACCAAGTCTCTTCTATCAACCTTCCAGAAGCGGACGAGCGCCGCTAGCTCGCCACTGAACCGCCCGCATGCCAGCGTCGGCATCCCCATGTCGCACAGGAGCCCGCAGGTACGGCATCCTTGGGAAGCGGCGCCTCAACGGAGCAGCTCTTATCTCTGGTCACTGGGTACAGATAGGCTACGTGAAAACCTTCTCAACTGCCTGTGTAGCAGCGCCAGCAGCGACTCGAGTCAGCGGTCATCGCCATGTCGCGATGGCCTACCCGGTCAGCCACCACGAAGTCGCTGCTCGCGTGTGCAACCGTCGTTTGTCAAGCCGCTTGTCGAGACCAAAGCTGTATTGGACCGCGTGCATTCGTTGGGCCGTCCACCACGCAGATCCTAGGATCCTGCTCCTCCATGATGAGGGCCAATCCTCAGCCCAGAACCACATGGACTGTCCGCGGGGTGGGTGCTTTGGGGTTGTCTCTCCACATGGGCCAGGCCAGAGGGCTCCCCACCGGTCCAGGTTGGCCGTTGATAAGCTCCAGCAAAGCGTCGTTGCAATCTTCTGTGGTTCTTCGCCCCCGTTACGGCCATGCCCCCCTAGCCTCGGCACTACTGTCGGATTCCCCTAGATCGCCAGTGCAGTCGCACAGCTGGGGAAAAAAGGGTCAGAGGATTTTTTTTTTTAAAAGAAAGGGCTGTCCCCCCCCTCCTTTGTTGCACTCGTGTCTTGGATGTGTGTGTCTTGTCGCCGTCGCCGTCGTCCCCTCCGCCGCCTTTGCCGATCCTTGGCTCCTCTTCCTCTTCCAAAGAGTTTGTCTTCGACGCCTTAACACGCGTCAGCAACTCTCAACCGTTCTTCATTTATTCATCCCGGAAGCACATCACCTGTGTCATCCCGTCCGCGACCGGCAGCCATGGCTTCTCACGCAACTGTCACCACGGGCTCCGGCCAGGCGCCCTACCAAAGCCCGCCCCGGACGCCACAGCCGGCTCAAGAGGCTGTTACTCCCGATCACCCCCGCCGCAACTCCGACCCGGCACTCGAGCCTGTGAACCAGCACCACCACGCTCACCTCCACCACGCCACCGGCGTTGCGGAAGACAACATCGTGTACGCCAAGGGCACCGGTCCTCAGACCATTCCTCCCCAAAGCCACCTGCACCATCACGACGACACGCGCGCCAGCAGCGAGCACGATATCGAGAAGGCCAAGCTTGGTAGTCAAAGCCCGCCCGAGTATGCCAATGGCGAGAAGGTTGGCGTCATTGCCCACGATGACGAGCGCTCTTCGGAGCACCAACCGTCCAAGTCGCGCACCTTTTACCGCCGTTACCGCCCCTTTTTCCACCTGTTCATCTTCCTGCTGTTTACTGGCTGGTGGATTGCAGGCCTCGTTCTGCACCGCGACGACATGAACTGGCGCATCCCCTTCCTGGTGTGGCTTGCCATCTCCATGCGCCTCTTCTTCTTCTACGTCCGCAGCTCGTACCTGTCCCGCCCCGTCATCTGGGCCTGGTCTCAGAGCGCTGTCCGTGTTTACGATGCTCTCCCGCCCAAGGCTCGTACTCCCGCTGGAGGTGCCGTCACCGTGGCCGCCATGCTTGTCGGATCTATGGCTTCTGAGGAGTTTGCCGACAACAACCGCGAGAACCGTGCCGTGTCGCTGTTTGGTCTGGCTTTCACCATCTTCGCTCTCTGGGGTACCTCGCGCAACCGCAAGATGATCAACTGGCGCCCCGTCATCGGTGGCATGCTTGCGCAGTTCATCATCGCCCTCTTCGTCTTGCGAACCGGCGCCGGCTACGACATCTTCAAGTTCATCGCTGATCGAGCCGGTGATCTCCTAGGCTTCGCCCGGGAGGGTGTCATCTTCTTGACGAACGACAAGGTGTACGAGCTCGGCTACTTCATCATCAACGTTCTGCCGCCCATCATCTTCTTCGTCGCCATTGTCCAAGTCCTCTACTACATCGGGTTCCTGCAATGGTTCATCGGCAAGGTGGCCACCTTCATCTTCTGGGCTCTTCAAGTGTCTGGCGCCGAGGCTGTGGTTGCTGCCGCCACTCCCTTTATCGGCCAGGGCGAGTCGGCTCTTCTCGTTCGCCCCTTTGTGCCGCACATGACCAATGCGGAGCTGCACCAGATTCTGACGTGTGGTTTCGCCACCATTTCCGGCTCTGTGCTCGTCGCTTACATCGGTCTCGGCCTCAATGCGCAAGCCATGGTGTCGTCTTGCGTCATGTCCATCCCCGCATCCCTTGCCATCTCCAAGCTCCGCTATCCGGAAGTTGAGGAGACCCTCACGGCCGGCAAGGTTGTCGTTCCTGATGATGAGGAGCACGCCGCTTCCAACGCCATCCACGCCTTTGCGAACGGCGCCTGGCTCGGTATCAAGATTGCTGGCAGTATCATGGCTTCGCTGCTCTGCATTCTTGCCTTCGTTGGTCTCGTTGACGGCCTGCTGACGTGGTGGGGACGCTTCCTCAACATCAACTCTCCTCCCCTGACGCTTAATCTCATTGCCGGGTACATGTTCTACCCCATCGCTTTCCTGCTTGGTGTACCTCGCAACTCGGATCTTCTGAATGTGTCTCGTCTGATTGCCGAGAAGGTCATCATCGTAAGTTATCCGAATATCCATGTCAGAGATCGCTAGAGACTAATTAGCGTGCCCGCAGAACGAGTACTCCGCATTCCTCTTGCTCAAGAATGAAGCGCCGTACAATGAGATGTCGCCTCGCTCCATCCTCATTTCGACTTACGCCTTGTGCGGTTTCGGCAACATTGGCTCGCTCGGTATCCAGATTGGTATCCTGTCGCAGCTCGCTCCTTCGCGCGCTGGCGATGTTGCCAGACTTGCTGTCAGCGCCTTGGTCTGCGGTGTCATTTCTACCTTGACCTCAGCTGCCGTCGCTGGCCTTGTTATCACCCAGTGGGAATAAGATGTGTACGAATGGTTCGGCTTGGAGAAAGATGTGCACCCATGAGGTGGTCATGTAATGTTTGTAGTAATTGAAATACCCACCTGCCGACCTGGTCGACAGACAATTGTTTCTGAAGTTGGACCGTTGTTATCCGTGCTTCGTGATGCTCTTTGACCAGAGCAGTCATAAAACGTCGAACCTACAAGTTATTTACCCTAAAGTGCCTGGCAAGTGAAGTCGTAGCGTCGCGTAATGCCAGGCTAGGCGATTGATCAGCATGATTAGCAATCACGCACATTGAGCACCAAAGCTGAGGATTGATCAGCAAGACGAATGCATCACAGCCAGGATGAAATGGAACAGAGCAACATGTTATAATCTGCTAATGCAAAGCGCCAAACGCCAACGCAGCAAGCCCAGGCGGGCCTGCTATACGTTCACTCCAAACCCCTGAATCTTCGGTTGAACTCCTCCACCGCCACGGCGACCATCTTGTACAGGAAGGCTCGTCCGCTTTCATCGCCTACTGGCAGGAACGGGCCATTGGTGCCGCCCCTCAGCGTCAAACTCAAACCCGTGCGCTCCTTTGCAATGGTCTGGACGTCCTTCAGCGGCACGTCCCATTCAGATGTCAGCCGCCGGCTGCGAATGAGCAGAATGCGCGAGTAGGTGACCATGACCACCATGTCTTCTCGAGGCAGCTCCAGGTGAGCAATGTACTGCTCGTTGAAATATTTCCCATTGTCGACCTGCTTGAGCCAGTTTTGCCCCATGGACTCGCGCCCATTGTAGGGCCGCACAATGCCGTCGGCTGAAATGAAGCGCGCGTATCGCACACGTTCAAGCTCGGAGCCATCAAAGACGGTGGTTGTGTTGCGGATTCCCTCGGAAACATTCGAAGCCATGTCAAGCACGCCAATGGCAGGCTTGGTGGCGAAGCCAACGACACCTTTACCGATGCCCTTGAAGAAACCCATTGCTCCCTCCTGCTCAGCTCCCTCGAGTGGCTTGCGGACAAGGCCTCCGACGCCAGATGCGGCGCTGGTGAAGAAGGAATTTGCGCCCGCCGTGACGCCATAGAGAGCGTGTTTGGGTCGGTTTCGCGCCCTCGTGATGCGACGACGGTCCTGAAACTGCTTATCAAGCGTGGCCGCGGCGAGGCCCTTGGACAGACTGCCCGTAAACTTTGAAAAGGAATCCGTAAAGCCATAGACCGACTTCTTCACGAACGATGCTGCTCCCTTGCCTACGCCGAGCGCAAAGTCCTCTGGTTTGTCAGAGAGGATCAGGCCTTGATATGGTTCGTAAAACACATCGGTGAGACCCGAGCTGATGTTGTTGAACAAGCCGACAGGGTTGCCGAGGAAGTCTGCCGAGCCGAGAATCTTGTGAACCTGATAGAGCACTTCTTGACTGTAGTGATTGGAGATGTTTTGGGTCAGTGCCGGCACAGAGACCCGCACGTTGTCGAGCATCAATGCGTTGAGCCGGATAGGGGCATCATTGACGTTGCCAATGGCCATGGTCATGACATTGAGGAAGAACATGAGTGGGTTGCGGGACGATGTCTTGTCTTCAGCGTTGACGCGCTCGGTGCGCATGAACGAGAGATCCAGCTGCATGGGTTGGATGTTGAGTAGCTCGAAATATATGTCCTGTCCTGATTGCTGCTGTTTCGGCTCCGGGATGTCTAATTCTTCATCGCAGAGCTTGCCTTGATCAGGACTATTCGACCATGCGGCGCCAGGAATGTTGGAAAAGTCGAGCACGGCGTAGACAAAGTCCTCGTCAAGCTCGATCGTCATTTGCTGCAAAAGCAGCGTGGCGTACTTGATGTAAAGGACGCCGTAGGAGTCGTCCTTGACTCGGGTGACCATGGCATGCAGTGAGGGGTGCGCATCGACCTCTTGTGCCTTCTTGGGCACGACGCTGGGATACAGAATCATTGGGAACAGACCCCCGTACAGTTGATTGTCAATCTGTATCCACTTGACCGCCAGGCTCACAGTTTGATATAACTGCGATTCTTGATACCTCAGTTGCACGTCGCGGAATGTGATGTATGCAAGCTCTCGCAGCTGTGAGTTGATCAACGATATGCCAATGCCAGACAGCTTGAGCTGGGCGCGGAACGTAGCGCCTGTCTCCTGGCTTTTGACCTCGAAGCCCTCGGCATTGTTTGTGCGGGAGCCCGACCTGGACTTCTGGCGGTAGAGACTCTTGGACGGCCGATAATTCGAGAGGATCAGGGTCTGCGTCGGGCCATCGGCGGCTACGTTGATGTCGATGATCTTTTGCTGGCGAGAGGCAGTGACAGCCTTCATTGGAATCTGATTGCCGATCTCGGCCAGTTTGACATGGCGCTCCTTGCCCTGTGTGTTCAGAACAATCTCGCGGAACTTGCCCGCGGGATAATCCCATGCGTAGGGCATGATGCTGCGTGGAGGCAGTCTGTAACGGATGGGCTTCCAGCCAGATCGATCCTCGACTCCATCCTCGTCGACATTCGGGTTGGCCTGGTAAAAGGTGAACTCGGTATCGCTCTCATTGCGCATGGAGAAAGGCCAGTTCTTTGTCTCCATACTGAGGTGCACGAACACAGTAGCGGCTTCCATGAGGATTTCGGCACGGATGAGCCTCTGACGCTGACCGTGTTTGGCAATTTTTATGTGTGTCGTGCCTATGTCGGAGATGTTGAACGGCGAGGTCCAGTCGTTATTCATGCCGGCATGGCAAAGCGATAGCTGCTTCACTGCCGTCTTCTGCATGAAGTGGATGGGTTGTAGGGCGCCAGGCTTGAGCGTCATGAAGCCGGAAGCGCTCGACTCGCGGACATTAATCTCTTCGTCAAGCTTGTTGGCGAGGACAAACCGCGGCGCCAGAGTTACGACCTTGGTCATCTTGTACTTGCCTTCGCCAGACTCGATCGTGATACCAACGTGAATTTCACTGTTCTTCTTCGTGGACGGCAAAACAACTTCATTGGTGCTGCCGATGGCATCGAAAGATTGTGGCTTGCTCCAATCCGAGTCGGCAATTTTGAGGAGCGTGCGGTTGCGGTTATCATCATTGCCATATGAGAACATGAAAGGCGTGGCCTTGGGACGTTCTTGGCCTGCTTCCAGCCCTTGTGTGAGCAGCGACTGACCCGCTGCGGCCTTGGCGCTCTGCATGAAGCTCTTTGCTCGGATGCTAAGGTCGAGACCAGTCTTGTTGAGGATGACGTAGGGACTGTAGACAGTCACGCGGAACGCGCCACCGCTATCGGGGATCTTAAAGTAATGCAGCTGAAGCGTCAGCTGCAGACCATCTTGGTCCTTGCATATGAGCTTTTTTTCCTTCTTGAACTCGTCTGAATGGCCTGGGTTCACCACGGCAAAATCACTGGGCTTGAACACGGTATCTTGCATGTCGATGCTCAGGAGGAGCAGGTGTGAAAGCTCAACAACGTGTACAGGACTGAGACCGCCCTTACGCAAGAAGTTGGTCCAGTCTTTCTTCGTATCCTTGTCATAGATGCGGTACTTGAAGTCGTGAGGGAGCAGATTTTCGAGGACGATAGGCGGCGAAATCTTGAGCCGCATATACGGGTAATTCCTAGTCTTATTAGTGACTATTCGGGTCTGTCTGCAGCAGGACACACTCACCTGGTTAAAGGATTGGCCTTATCAAAGGTCGCGTTGACTTGGAAGTAGAATGGGTCCCCGTTCTCACCCTTGCACACCATGGTCCTAGTGGGTCGCTTGAGCAGATCGCGCCACCAAAGCGTCTCTGACGACCACGCGTAGCCAAACCCTGAGTCAGGCCTGATGAGCAACGATTTGAGAAAGACGGCACCGACCGGGGCGGGGCGCGACTCGCCGGGGGAGATCTTTTCAATTTTCAGCAGGTGACCCTCCTCCGCATCGTAGACTCCCAACTCGACCGGGATCTGCGTATCGTTTTCAACGACCAGAGGCGAACGAAGCGTGACGTATTTGACATTGTCTTGACCAAGGCTGACCTCAACGAGTAGTCTGTGCAGAACAGTGTCCGTCTTAGGACGCAGACCGTAGATGAACTCGCCCTCGCGATTGAGACGAACGCTCTTGACCGGGTCGAAGCCGCTGCCCTCCAATTGGATCGTGACATCGTTGGAACTACTCTCCGCCAAGAGGTTCTCGCGCATCTTCTCCCAGGGTTCAAAGCTCCAAGGCACTTGCTGGCCATCTTCGAGGCGTGTTGTTGTGACCTCGTCGGTGACAGTGCTCTTGGACTGAACAACTGCTTCAAAACCGGTGTAATTACGAATGCGGTAGGGCGCGTCGACACCGCGGGGCTTGCCGAGGACATCCTCGTCCTGGCTGAGGAAGGCGAAAGACTTGGATGCCAGAGCAATGGTAGCCGTTGTGAGCGTTACATCAAAGACCTTTTTAGACGTGACATCGATGGAGAGAAGCCCCGTGTCTTGCTCCTTTGCAATGCCGACGCCCATCTGCCAAGGCTCCAGCAGCGGCTCCCACGAGGACTTGGAAAAGTTGTACACGTTCATGTAAATGTCGACTGCCGTGCCGGCCTTGAGATTCGACGACCAGTCTTCAGCTGTCGCCGTGAGACATTTGATACCCAAGTCAAAGATGGGCAGTTCGTGTGTGTCTCCAATGAGCACGATGCGAATGCCGTCGATCGTTGCTGTAAGCTCTTCACGCTGGCGGGGAGGTTTTTGTAGGGCTCCATCACTCTCAAACTCGTTCGCCTGGCTGCCTTGCGCAGCTGCAATCTTGGCGCCGGGGCCTGCGCTCTTGGTGACACGCGTGCGCGCTGCAAGCGTTGACGGACCCTTACCGCTAGCTGTACGTTGTTTTAGTCCGGCCTGCCGCAGCTGTCGAGCCTTTTCGTCCACCGCCGAAGGCTTGGAGTCATTCTGGGGCTGGCTGCTGGAGAGCTCAGTGGCCTTGCTAGCAATCTGTAAGGCCAAGAGAATATCTCGCAAAGATAAGCGCAGGATGAGCGGCTCTACGTCGACGTGAATGCTCGTCAGACCTGGTTTGGAGCTGTCCATGGACATCTGAATCGAGAAGTCGTCGAGAATGCGGAGTCGCGAGTCTTCGAACTTGTCCATTCGACACATGAACATCCCAATCTCTGAAATCTGGAAAGTCAAGGCATGCTGCTGAGATAGCAGAACCTGCTTCGTGCCGAGAACTATAGCTTCAGAGCTCGAGCTAAGTGGGTTTGCAATAAGAATCACCTGTGCGTCTACGACGTTGACTCTAAACGCAACGTTCATGGCTGATGGTGTCTTGTCCTTGTCGCCGTAGCCGGCTGTGGCCTCTGTGGTGTCGACCTGCTGGCTGGCCGTTATATGCTTAGTCGAGACTGCTCGTGAGGATGCAGCGTCAAGATCCGCATCCGACTCTTCGGTAGACTGCACGTCGAGCAACGATTCATCGTCTATCGCGAGGGGATCCTCGGCCGTCAATCCGACTGTCACAAAATTCTGGATGGCAAAGAGGTAGTCGAGCGCAAAGATGATGCGAGGGCTATCCACCGTTACCATGGCAATCAAACTCTTGTCCTTTCCACCAGTCATGGTGACGCTCGCCATCAGCTGTTGGACATCTTTGTTGAGCGATGTCATGATACGACGGTACTTATTGGCGTCGCGGGACCGACTGTCATGAATTGTGAACGAACTAATGAGGAACTCGCCTTCGAGAGACCCATCGTTGAGCATCCGCGTCTTGACTCTCGTGTCGTCCAGCGAAAATCTTGAGAGACTAGCCGTCTCAATATTGCCAACAGGCTTACCCTCGGGCGCCATGATGAGTTCCATGCCAATAGTTTGCACCTGAAAGACGAGATCCAATGTGGTCCACGTCTTGTCGCGCGATCTGAGCTCTGGGCTCAGGTCGACAAGCTGGTCATCGTCGCCGGACGCTTTTTCAACTGGCATTGACCTGGCGCGCTTCAGGGTGTCTTCGTCAACATCCTGTTCGGCCGACTCGACCTGCGCATCCGAGTCACTCGCAAAGGCGGCTGGTACAGACTTGGAGATCTCCATCAGAAATCTGAGCTGATACTGCGTCAGCTTGAGGTTGAAGTCAGACATGGTGCCTTGAATCTCCAATTCAGGTCGTTTCTTGCCGTGCTGGTGTTCGGCGTACGTGACATTGAATCCAAGATCGACGTGGTCGATGAGCTCCAGTTCCTCAGACTTGTCATCTTCGTAATTGAAATCAGATGTCAGACGGATATTGCGAATGCCGGCTGAGATTTTCGTAGCAATCTGTGCGTCCTCCGAGTCGTCAAGTGGCGCAAACTTATTCTGCGCATAAATCTCGCCGAGGTAGGCTGTCAAGAGGTCGCGTTTTGGCTGACCAAGCTGCACCACCCGGGGGAAGACTACAATGGGCGTTTTGACGACCACGTCGTATTTAAACCTGCTCGTGCTTTGCTGGATCTGATTTGCCTGGTTGGCGGCAGCTTGGCGGGCCGCATTGAAAATGGCCTGCATCTTGCCAAATTTGACGACAAAATCGATGATCTTGCGGAACGGCTCCTCAAGGAAGTTGAGTTTGAAAGAACCAGCCCGTAAGAAAATGGAGGAGTCATAGCCGGGGTAGGTCTTAGGGTTCTCGGCGTCAAACGTCTCGTATCTGAAATCAGCCAGATCGTCGCCCTCGATGGCAATGAGCCGGCGGAGGGGCGAATCGTCGGGCACTCCCTGGTTGACGTCGTCAACGAGGTTCAGATCGCCCAGCTTAGCAGACATGCGCATAGTCTTGCCCCGTAAGAAAACGCCGACGTCAGCGTGGTTGAACGAGAGAGTTGCCAGCCGAATGCCGTCGTTGTTCAGGATGAGCCTGATACTCTTGAGATCGGCCTTGACCCGAATGGATGCTGTGTTGGCTTGGGCGTCCTCTGTGGGGGTGTCTACCGCCACCTCGACCTCGTTGTCGTCGCTCTCGGCAGCCTCAATTGCCTTTTGCTCCCGTTTGGACACGGCCTCGTTGTTGTCGCCGGTAAAGGTTGCGAGGATAAAGTCTAGCAAAGTGAGCAGCGTCTTTCTCGTCACGATCAGGTTGATGGTCGATATGGCTGCTGTGACATTTGTTTCGACGCCTTCGTAGACGGGCATAAATTCTGGCGACTGGCTATTGACCTTGGTGAACTTGACTTTGACGAGACTGCGCTTCTGCTCGCGATCTTCCACATCGCCCGAGGAGATGATCGATTTAAACTCGGCTGGTGGGTCATCCACAAAGTCATCCATGGTCACAGAACCAAGAGACACCTCTGCCGACATGTCATAGGGACGCAAGAAGAACTCCAGGTCGAAATCGTTGGCGACAAGCTCTACGAGCAATTCATCTGGCTTCTTTCTGTCGGGGTCGCTGCGGTAGAGTGATCCCTTGAGCGTGTCGACTTTGAACTTGAGCTCGAACGATCGCTGCTGCATCGTGATCTGCTCATTATCAACGCCGTCCGAAGCGTCCTCGTAATTGTCATTGTCATCCTCGTCGAGATCGTCGTCGTCAATGACAATGGCTGTCTGCTGTTGTAGGAATGGGAATTGAGACGACTTGCGGCGGGCATCCTTGCGAGATCGATTAGAGGCAGAGCTGGCGAGGCGTGGTCGGGAAGCCTTGGACGACCGCGACGTTGGTCTCGTTTGTTCCTTGGACTTGTTCTGGGCTGTCTTATCATCGCCGAACTTGGGAATCGCAACATCTATGACGCGCATGAGGTTCTTGTACTTTGCGTCGGACATTGTCGCCTGCAGGACTGGTAGGTGGCCAGACACCTTGAGCTTCGTCAGGTTCGGCGCCTTTGGAAGAATGGATGTTTCCACGACGAAATCAATGTTGATTTGATCAACAATGTGCAACGGCTGCGAGGCGTCCCGATCAATGAGCTGCTTCTTGGTGGCCTTGATCGACGGTCCAATAAGCAGTTGTGTAGACGTTAGCTTGACCAAGAATTTGTCATACATGACAGACTCGAGACGTTCAAAATCCTCGTTTGAGTATTGCTGTCGCTGTTTGGACTGAATCTGCTTCATCGTGTCCTGGTCCACGAGTTTGCTGTTGACGCTGATGTGCCCAGCATCCAGTATCAAGCAGGTGGACTCCTTGGTGGCGATGCTGACTGGGACGATGATCAACGGTGCTTGCAGATCGAGTTGAGCGTTGATTGTCTTGTGTTCTTCGAGCGCAAACTCCAATCCTGCGCGGGTCTGCTCGCGGAAGCCCTCGACAGTGGCGCCAGCCGACTCCATGAGCGCACTGATGGACTCCATGTGCCGCTCTGGGGGGCGGAAAAAGTCAGCTACGCCGACGACTGAGTTGGGATTCCAGACAATTTCCAACGGTTTGAGCGACCCCACGACTGCTATATCACCCTCGCGGTCGATGGGGTTCTGCTCGACCTCAATGTTGAAGAAAGGCTCGTCGTCGCAGCTCTCTAGCTCTTCGATGGTCAAAGCCTTGCGCTCTTGCGTTTCCGGTGCGTCCTTGACACGAACAATCTCGGGGAACAGACTGTTCGGCGTGGTGCCATCGTTGACACGCAGACCGCCGAGGCTGAGGGCGGCAAGGAAAGAGTCGGGGCGCTGAAGGGCCTTGGCCTTGAAGACGTCAAAATGTAGACTGATGAGATCCTTGAGTTTACCGTTGTGGTTCTTCTTCAACGTGAAACTGCCGGTACTCAAAGAAGCCTCGACTTGAATCTTGACACTGTCCCTCGGAACATCAACCGACTCGGCGAGCGCTGTCTTCTCATCCCAATCGATGGCGTCATAGAGCTCCCTTTTCTGCTCCTCTGTGATCTGTGTGTTTTCTTCCATGTCGCTGTGCTGCTCTTCGGCCGGTTTGGAACCCCATGCCCATGCAAGCCAGCCCTGTTGTTGGGGCTGCGCCGGCTTACTCTTCAGAGCAGCGGCGTTTTCTTTCTTGAGTTGATTCCGACCCAACGACCTCCAGAAACGCAGGTCCTCGTAGTCGAGCCGCCGCTCGAGCGCCTCGATATCCGCAGAGTCTTCTGCAGAGAACTGCTGCTGCTGCTTTCGCTTCTTGAACAGCTCGATATATCGTTTTCGGTCGTCGCGGCGCTCGCGAAAGTATTCCCACGACCAGCGTCTGTTTCGCTCATGTATTTTGCTGAGAATGGCGTCACCTGCAAACTTGAACCACGCTCGAGGGTCTTCCTTGGGCGTGACACCTTTGGGCTGTAGCTTCTTGTATTCTTGATGCCGGATGAAGTAGTGGAAAAGGTCGACCATCATGAGGCCATCTCGGTACTGGTCGTCATCCAGCACAAGACCAATCTCCTCAAACAAGAGACTTGCCTTGGTCTTGGGTATGTGAATGTCACCTGTCTTGTCGAGAACAATCTTGGCTTGCCCGCTGACGGGGCGTAGCACAAACTGGTAGTCAGGTTTGGTCTCATCGGGTTTTGCGATCATGCCTTTGAACTTGGCAACCATCTCCTCGTGTGTCAGTGTGGGCCTGTCCTCTTGATCGATCTCACGACCGGACCCGTAGAGCTCTGTATCTGTGTTCCAGTACACAGCAAGCGCGCCGAGTTTGGCGAGTTTGTGGGTCGACTTCGTCGAGTCCTGGATGAAGGTGGGTGTCCATTCGCCGTTTGTACTGACGGCACTAAATTCTTGAAGGGTAACACCCAAAGCAAAGGGGTGGCCAGGCGTAGAGATGGAGTCCTCGTAGCGGACGTGAATGTTCTTAATCGTGACCTGCAGGTTGTCCACGATTTTTGTCACAAGGCTTTGGGTGAAGCTCTGATTCTTCTTTTGCTCCTCGGAACTGAGGCCCTCTTGTGATCGTTCCTTGAGAAGCTCGGCAGAGTCGAGTTTCTCCATCTTGATGCGCTGTTTCCTCCGCTCCTCCTCGTCTTCGTCGTATGCCGCATCTTCTTTCGGGGACGCCAGCAGAAAGACGTCCTCAATAAAGACTTTGACGGGCGCACCACTGAGGTTAGACCAAGGGATGATCAAGGTTAGCTCGCCGAGATGACCTTCGAGCACGTTGATGGGTAGTTTGAGCTGGTCGAGAGCTTCTTTGCGGAGCTGTAAATTGCGCAGCTTGACATCGCCAGACCAAATGCCGACCTTGAGCTGCTTGGGGTCGAAGTTGTTGACGTACATGCCCAGGAACCTGTTGAGCAGGCCCGCAACCAGGCCTTCCAACATGACGGCGGTAGTTGATTGCCGTGACCCGGGCAGGGATCGTGATTATGCTTATTGGGGTCCGCTCCGCCGCGACATGAGGTTCGGACTGAGAGAGGTTCGCGCTCGGTAGGTCTCGGGGGGTTCGAAGATGCGGTTGCCAGAGGTCGACGTGACAAGATCGTCTAGCAGTTATGCAGCTCGGTCAGTGATGGCTAGAGGTGCGTGAGCAGCGCAGCCTCGCGGCATCACGCAGA